TAACCGAAAACAGTCCGTCTATTTTCAACCACTACTGCTGTATGAACATAGATAATTATGTTCGTACTTAACTCATACTTACTTATATGAATTCAAACACAAAGCAAAACAAAGATTACATGAATACGATCGGCTTGTGCTCGATGGCGTGCACCCATATCACGATAGCATTGTGTCACAGCACCGGCCACCGTGTTATCACGATATTCACGGTACATATTGTGGTGATTTGTACGTGAATCGTATTTCAACCAGATGCCGTAGTTCTTGATACTGCCTGGTCGCCTTTCGAACACCTTAACAAAGTTTCGTCATCTCTTCCAAGCGAGTGAAAAACCTTTTGCCAACATGATCAAAGGAGAAACAAATAGCTTTTCTCTCATTACTGAGTTTGTTTCGTCAAATGATTAATCTGCTCAATCATAACAACTATAATAATAGCCGTTCTCAGTCAAAAATATTTAATGTTATGGTTATGATAACGCAATGTTGTGACTGGATTCGCTTAACAAAAGAGAATCCGATCATTGCAGTTATACAGGACAATAGAACCAAACGAAACCAAATTAGACCAAAGCAAACAAATAGACCAATGAAAGAAACATATAAGAGTGACTCACCTCCTCGCAGGAAACAATTTCTCCATTCGCCTTCTTCACTCTCCTCAACATACTCGTGAAATACCAGAAACGCGATTTTGCGATTACGTGATTAGTAGCGAATATTTGCATTTTGTACATCGGTGGATTTGGATCCTTATCAGATGGTAGCTTACGTCCAATCACCACGAATTCTCTCAACTGCAATTAGTCATTTTTATTCCGATTGGATCACTTTTGCACATATATTAACTAGAATGAAAAATTACACTCACGTTCCCAATGTTTGATGTCAATAAATAAACGCTTAAGTTCATCAGAAATCAGAAACAATTAGTTGCCTAATTAAAAAGAGTACTGACCTGTTCTCCTTTGGCTTTGGTTGGCATGATGATCTCTTATGATACCTTTACCTGAAAAAATTCTAAACATAAGGGTCTGATTAATAGAATTCACAAAAAAATGGCTACGAAATGGTTCAACGGGAAATTGCAGTGAACAAAAGCATAACATGAATTCACGAATAATATTTGAAACATTTGAAATTCATAATTGAACGAAACGATAGCAGGAAATAGCTTGACGAAACAACTGTTTTAAGTGGGAATCCACGAACCACAACAAACTGAAACAAAATGTTCCGTTCTCATTTCGAAAAATCGGGAGGATAATATCAATATAAATTCTCTCAGTCGGTGCAAACAAGTCGAACAAAACAATAACTTGCTGATAAGAAAGAGCTACTGAACTGAATGTTGGTTGGGAAACTTCGCAGAACTCAAAACCAAACGTAAATCAAATGAATCAGATCACATCGCGAAATAACAACATGAACATAATCGGAAATTAAGACGAATTCAATTGCTTGCACCTATTCACAGAACATGCCTAAACAATGCAAAGTTCACTTTCCTTGTAACTATAATGTTCATCCATTCTACACGAATTCTATCGCAATTTCAAAAAACAAAGCAAGAAAATCACTCGAATGACCAGGAGTCCACTGTTACACGAACTTAAAACGTTTTTAAAACGCCAAAACATCGCAAAATTGCCTTGAATTGACCCAAAACGTTGAGAAACGAGCAATTTATTGATGAAATGTAATGTTCAACACACACATCAATCGTCGGAAGATGTTCGTCCTCTTTCAACAGCCCAGTTTTTCGAATTCTCCGAAGCATTGCAGAAAGTGAAACTAGCCTCGCAATTAGCTAAAGATTCTGCGCGAGCATTGTACCCCTTTATGAATAATAATTTTGAAGTCTAGAATGCATTCGTAAGTAGGCAACTATTCAAGCGAAGGAATTTCCCTCAGTTCCAAACAGTTTCCTCTTCGTAATCTCACTCGGAAGTAGAGCAGTCATTCATCGAAAAAAAAAAGAAAACAATTCAGTTCACCTGATTTAAAAAGGACCGATTTAATCCACCTGATTTTATCCAACACTGTAAATATTAACGTGAATATTTTTGGAACAAATCTATTGAGAACATATTCTTACTTTTATTTTGAATGGGTGCTGTACCGTTAATGAAAGCATGTAAAATTTGAATTTGAGTTTACTGCTGGACTCTTTTTTGGTAATTTCACACCTGGTGAAGCAGATGATAATAATTCAAGGATTGATACGGAAAGTAATTTGCAGATTGACTCTGATGAATGGTATTGTTCGAACGGTGAATGAAATTGCCTTGTTCCGTCTTACGAGCGTATTTAACAAACAGCTATGGAGAAGTGCCTCGAACAGTGCCGTGAAAAAGAANAACAAGAAATCGTTCAACGCAGCTATCGGTACTAATTCCCTTCTTGACTTAACCATGTACTATAATTTTTTACAACTGTAGAAGTATGAGTATGGAAAGAATATTTCACTTCTTCTTTTAACGGAGAATACTGATTTGAGGATAACATTCTTTGGAAAGGGTTCTGTTGAATACACGTAAACTTCAATCTTTAATGTGAACGGACGATAACAAATTAAAAATGCATTCGATTGGAATTCACGAACCAACGCTTTTATTACTTCGTGCATAAATGAATCGAATTTCAGAGGTATTTCGTCAGAAGCGAACGCAAAGTCGTGGTCATGTTGAGTTTATCAATTCAGCGTTGAAATATTTGGAAGAGTACGGTCTGCATAAGGATCTTGACACGTATAAATCTCTCCTGAACGTCTTCCCAAAAGGAGCGATGATTCCACAGAATAAGTTCCAGGTAGTAAATTCATGTTTTTAAAATTTGAATTTATCGTTTGGTATTTCATAATCACAAAATTGTTCTTTTAATGGCGAGTTTATTCAAGAGATGTACTTCATTCCTTATAAATTTTCTTCGTTTTTAAGCATCCTATTTTCAGAAAATATTCCTCCATTATCCTATGCAACAGAATTGTTGTGTTAAAGTTCTGGATCAAATGGAATGGTTCGGTGAGTTCGCCCTTCATCCATCACATTCTTTTCATTTCCTTATATTTCACTTTATCTTCTCACCTCGAATCATTCAGCTTCATTTTATTATTACGTAGTTTACATAAGTTTTTTGGAGGATCTTTGTGATTAAAATTATTGACTTTTGAGTGTTTTGACTTAATGGACTCAAATGAAGAAATTAGATTTTATGAGTGTTTTTTGAACGATAGG